ACTTGCTTGTATGAATGTTGAACCAGTAAAGACTTGCTTGTATGAATGTGGAACCAGTAAGGACTCACTTGTATGAATGTGGAACCAGTAAGGACTCACTTGTATGAATGTTGAACCAGTAAAGATTCACTTGTACGGATGTTGAACCATTAAAGACTCACTTGTATGAATGTTGAACCAGTAAGGACTTGCTTGTACGGATGTTGAACCAGTAAGGACTTGCTTGTACGGATGTTGAACCAGTAAGGACTTGCTTGTATGAATGTTGAACCAGTAAAGACTCACTTGTATGAATGTGGAACCAGTAAAGACTCATTTGTATGAATGTTGAACCAGTAAAGACTCACTTGTATGAATGTTGAACCAGTAAAGACTCACTTGTATGAATCTAGAACCAGTAAGGACTCAATTGTATGAATGTTGAACCAGTAAGGACTCACTTATATGGATGTTGAACCAGTAAGGACTCACTTGTATGAATGTTGAACCAGTAAGGACTCACTTGTATGAATGTTGAAACAATAAAGACTCACCTGTTTGTATGGATGTTGAAACAGTAAAGACTCACCTGTTTGTATGGATGTTGAAACAGTAAAGACTCACCTGTTTGTATGGATGTTGAACCAGTAAAGACTCACCTGTTTGTTTGGATGTTGAAACATTAAAGACTCACCTGTTTGTATGGATGTTGAAACAGTGTTTCTTACAAGTGATTGAAAGTATAATAGTTTATATTTTTGTAAATTCCACTAATTTTGTTGCAGATGACTGGTTTGGTTCTAAATGGCAGAAAAGGAATTCAGCTGAATGTATACGTTAAACAGAATTCTTATATAGCGTAAGTCATCTATTTTTGTTTTACATTGATTTCGGTAATTTAAAGTTTGTGTTTTAAGTATTCTTTTTCAAATTGTAAAACTTAGAGGAGGATGGAAAAGAAAGTGTGTCAGTATTTGTACTACTCATGATATAAGATGATGTCAGTATATGTATTAATCATGATATAAGATGATGTCAGTAGATGTGTTACTCATGATATAAGATGATGTCAGTATATGTATTAATCATGATATAAGATGATGTCAGTATATGTGTTACTCATGATATAAGATGATGTCAGTATATGTGTTACTCATGATATAAGATGTCAGTATTTGTACTACTCATGATAT